TTAAATCAAGCGCAGATAGAGGTACTTAACATTTATTTAGAAAATGTCTTTGTGTCTTCTTTGACAAACTATGGTGGACTGTCCCGTTGACTAACATCCATAGCGGTGAGTACGTCATGTTGTTTGTTGTCCAATAGCATGCAGAGACAGTTGATCCCACCCCATGACTGAGTGCCATCAATGGACCATAGCCATCCTATATATTCACATATATGGGATGGCTTGCCGGGGTAAAATAATTATCCTTATTGCTCTATAAGACACTATGAAGACTAGTTTTAGTAATTTTCTTCTTTGAAATCCTGTTTTCAGTAATCAGCCTAGTGAGTTGCTGTCATAGAGGTCAAGAATAAAAAATAGAATAACTAACTCTTACAAAACCTGTAGTAATAATTATTTAATACATCACAATCTTACTTAATACAGCACCTACAGTAACGACCTCAAAAAAAGAATATTTGTTTTAAAAATACTGTGTTAAAAAACATTTTCTTGGTTTGTTTGGTCCTGAATTAGAAAAACTATTTTCTCATAGTGGAATTGTTTATTTCCCCACTTGCATCTTGTGAATGCTGTCGAAACAAAATGTTATCTAATAAGTTACACAAAAACAATTTCTGTGTGAAATGTACATAATACCGTCAGCATCACAACCAGCCACTGAGTTTATTAACAAACCTTCACTAGACTCTTTGACCTGAAAACTACAAGCTTTTAACTCTAAACTGCTCAGCATGCAGACAAATCATTACATTAAACAGCTGTGGCTAATTGAATGGTTTGTTTAGAAGTTACATTTATTCCTAAGCACATCTTTATTCTGATCTGAGCCATGTCTTCTAATTCTAAGACTCAGATTTTCTTATTTCCGATTAAATGGGCTCACACCACCACTACCATATTGTGCATCTCTTTATTTGGGCAGCAGCTGATAATTGGATGCATGACTGGCATCACTGTCCCACAAACTCCATCCATGGCTGCTTTCAGCTAGAACATCCTGTTTACTATTCTGCTTCTCTGAAAATAAATCAGCTTCTATAAGAACATCAGACACACGTTTTCCAGTAAAGTCTGTTTCTTCTCTCTTCTTTAACTCATAAAAGCTTTGAACACTTTCTCCAAAGCCATCAAACCATCACAAATCCTCACATTTAGAGGAGGATGTGACATTTTCCTTTACCCTGCTTCCTTCTGGGGCGACACGAGAATGAGACTTGCAGCCGTGCGCAAGATAAAAGGACTAGTATTAATAATAAATTATGAATGGCTAAATTATAAATGAAAAAGGAAGAACTAGGAAGCTTGTGCTTCCAGGTAGAGCTCCCACTTTGGATGAAACAACTGTTGTTGGTCTGTTTCATGAAGTATCTCAGGCTAATGATGCCGTCTGCACGTTCTTGGTTCTGAAGCCTTTTTTTCCTCTGGTATGTTCTCAAACCATGTTGGAACCTTAAGTCCTTATGGGAAACAGATATGGGTTCTAATTAAGTAAATCACCTTTTAATGCGTCCTAAGGCTAAGAGTGTGTAAAGTTAGGTTAGAGATGACATCACACTGTTTGATGAAAGGGTGAGTTTGAGTCTGACCACATGACAGTAAGCTGTTGTATTCTCAGGCATCCAGATCATGAAGGCTCTTGAAAACCACACATTAGGCAACAATTGTACTGAGGTGTACTGTACTTGTTCACGTGGATCACTTGTCTCTACACAAATAAACAATGATAAACACATTTAAATATAATTTCAAAACCATAGGGTTGCATTCAACTAATGACAATGTTCTCTGTGACTGAAAATCCTGCAAGACCTTTTTACTCTATTGTGTGTTTACAAAGTCACAATTATATATTAATCACTATTGTTGGTAATGACTCGGTGTTTCAATTAAGCTTGCTGAAGGATAATAAAAGCAACATGATTAAAATGTTTGAATGCAGCACACACACACACACACACACACACACACACACACACACACACACACACACACACACACACACACACACACACACACACACACACACACACACACACACACACACAGAGAAAGAGAGAGCGAGGGAGAGAGAGAGGGTGAGTGAGCGAGAGAGTCCAGCTCTATCAGGTCTGTTTTGACTCAAAATATTTTTTTCCCTTTAAAACTGATTATCAAAATATACAAATATATCTACTGTCCTCCTAACTATAAACGAAAGTAGCAGAAGAGTTAAGTGCCCATCTCATAACTGGAGGGATGTGGGATCAAGTCCTGCTCAGTCTATGGCACTTATTTTGTCCTTGGGCAAGACACTTAACCTGCGTTGGCTGCTTGTGGTGGTAGGAGGAATAGGTGGTGCACAGGCGCACGCCCAGGGCAGCTGTGGCTGTAGCTCATCACTACCGGCGTGTGAATGTGTGAGTGTGAGTGTGTGTGTGTCTGTCTGTCTGTGTGTGTGTATGACTGTATGTGTTGTAAGGGGTCTTGTTTGTATAACAAAAACAATCTGAAACTTTATTAATTTTGTTTATCGTCAGTGAATCTATTTAGCATGATCATATATCTGATTTAACATTTTAAATTGTTGATTTATAAAATTGATAAAATCTGGATTTTGATCAGAAACAAACAAACAAACACAACCTCAACAGCTTTTATCATTTAAATATATTTCAGCTAAGAAATAAAAGCTGCTGATGAAGAACATGTGATGTAATGGTTGAAAGTTAATGTGTGGGCTTCAGATGTCCTTGGAAAACAAAATATTCTAGTGAGAAAGCTAATTTGAGTTATAAAAGCTCACAACTTCTTAGAATTCAAGAACAAGTTTTAAACATGTGCTCCATCTTCACCTGGTCCAGCAGCCCATTTACCTCCTGGACTCCTTTCAGACTCATCTGTAATAATGGCTGTCAAGTAGAGCAGCTATTAAAATCCATTTACTGTCTTTTTCTTACATCGCAAAAGAATCAGAAAAGAACAAAAAAAAATGTCTTGAGGGTTCCACGAATATTATTATTTGAGTAAGAAGACATTATGAGTTACTCAGATTGTTAAAGCCTTTTTTGGGTCAGTGTTAGGATTAATCACCCTCTCACAGCTTTCTGTGTGTTAGAACTACTGCACCATAACACTTTTCATCACAACTGGGACATAACTGATTCATGGATATTTGATGTTCTCATTTCTGCAGAAAAACACAAGTTCCAGCAAGATATTCTGAAGTTTTCTCTAATATTCAGTTAACTTCTGCATAGACTTATTTTTAAATTTCTTTTTTCGAAAACTCTGCCTCACAAACTAAACCCTAGATTTGTGTTTCTGGTGAACAAAGACAATGTTCCTTTCTTTTCCCAGGTAAATCTAAAGGGGACATTTTATGACTTGTTTTCTTAAAGGTTCCAGATCATGCTATTTTAAACCTTTGAGAGGAAAGGTATGGCACCATATATGATAAAATAATTACTGTTGGCACTATCGACATGTCTTTTATCCTAAATACAAGTTATTTTGGTCAGCCTGAATTTATACCCGTAAATGAAACGGTGTGTTTCAGTGAATGTTGGTCCACTCCCTCTTTAACTGAACACACTTATAATACTGTCTAGGCAAGCCTGCTATTGTTATTAGTCCAGTGGTTTAAGTGCCTGCCTTTTGTCTCATTTTGCCATGAGCTGAGGCCGGTTCGACTCCTGGTGTTGGCAGTCATTTATTTAGCCAGCTGAAGCAGATTTCATGTTTTTATCATTCTGCTTTATTAATTATTTTCTGCAAAATATTTTGTGTCTCCAAAGATCTTTGAATTTGGTCATTCTCAAGCAACATTTTAGTTTATACTCTGCTCACCTCACATTCGACTCACACTGGCTAAATAAACAAGGAAACTAAAATAAAAACACATTAGTCCTTATATTTTAAACTGTTTACCAATAAAGGGTTGAAAAAATAATATTGGCAAGTGTAGCTAAAAAATAAGAAAAAAAGTTACTGCCGCAATCGGGAGGCGAACCTGCACACCAGTCTGGCACTCTAACCACTGGACTACCGAGTCCGTTACAAAACAATAGTCACCTAACACTCTTGTCTTGCGCTGGCCATTATGTGCATCTTTGTAGACAGGATATATGGCTTTTATGGTGATGTTTTGTCCTCAGTACTGAAGTAATTTTTCTGAATATCCAGGTTTCAAAACAGAGACCATTTAGACACATGCTTCCTAAAACCAAACACTGACAGAAAATGGTTGGACAGGTTTTTCTCAGGTTTGGAGTGTTTATAGAGGCAGTAAAGACTCACATGGCAGCACAAAAACATCAGTTTTGCATAATATGTCCCCTTTAAGTAAACTGGAGAAGTGTACAAGTCAAACATCTTAATAGACTCCTGATTTATGCCATTAAGTAGAAGGTTTAAGGGTGAAACTATAATAAACAAGATGGTTGAGTAAATGACTTAGTCAACCTTTATCTAGTTTAGAGTTCTTTAAGAAAGTAATTCGGTGGATCTTTATGAGGCTAAATGTCTTAGCAGCTCATGAATTATGCTTTCTACATATCCATGTGTTGCTCTCAGTGGCTGACCAGGGAATTAGAACAAAAAACTTCCACTCCGCCGATTGGAAATGGTCAGGCAGTCAAAAATGGATTTGCGAGAAGTCGCTGACCTAATGACAAAATCGAGACTTACAATTTTTCCACAAAAACCAAAAGAGTGATTTCACAGCAGCTCTGTCCATCTTTCATATATAATTTGATGGGAACCACTGAACTTTTCTAACCACTGTACCCCTTTGAATGCACATAATGTGTATTTAAATAAGACAGGAACAAAATCCAGCCAGGTGGTAAAAACCCAGCAGACAACTGATACGAAAATTCTCCCAACAGTTGGGTCTTGGTGTGAATATTAGTAGGCTTCCATATTAACTGCCCCTGCTCTATTTCCTATTACTTTTTTTTCTGTTGGACCAGCTGACAAACAATGAGAGCTAGCCTATGTCCCTTGCTGCCTGGACCTACCTGGCTGCGAAGCACAGATGGGTGAGAATTCAGGGTGAGGTGAGGCACAGAGCTCGCTGGTCGTGACAGTGAGCCGCCGCCATTTTTATGTTGCTGTTTGACACTGACACTGCATTCAACACTGTCAAAGTTGCTTTTCCAGACCATTACCTGTGGAAAGATTATGAATTTATTCAGAAATCAAAGTCAAAATAAAAATTAACCAACCTCTAAAATATTACAAGTAAAGAAAAACAGAAGTTCAACAGCTATCTAACACACAGATCAATTCCTCCAGTTTTATGCAACTTATTAAGCAGACAAAAAAAAACTAAATAAAAGAGTTCTCCATCACCTGTTCATCAGAACCTCCTGAGGAAAAGTACTCTCCTGTCCGAGAGAAGGCCACACATGTGACTGGACCCTGGGGTAAAAAAATGGAAAAGGAAAGATGTCAAATCAAGATATTAATTGTATAAACTCAATTTTCGTTCTACAAGGTCCCTGATGATCCTGGAATGAAGGTAATCATTAGATTGATAATAGCTGGGCTGTGCTACAAAACTGCAAAGAACCCTGGGGTGAAGGAAATGGAAACAGAGGAAAGGTGAGTGAATGTGATCCTTCAGAATCATCATTTCTCAAAACTGTAGCATCCAGTTTACAGTTTTATCAGCTTTCCAGTTATGGCTATAACTATTAATCCTCCTCAGGGGCAATTTTCATTGTAGCTGTTAGCTATAAGCTATGGTCTTTTATGTAATAAACCATCACAACAGAAAATAAATGTCTACCAGGTGCCATTTTTCTGAAATGTAATACTTTCAAGGCCTTAAATTTGGCTCTACAGAATGTAACGCTTTTTTAATACTTAAAGACACCGCGGCTACTCTTATATCCTGCTTTTACTGTCTGCTTCACTCATGCCAGAATTTGTGTACTATAGGCTAACCACAAGAATGCTGACGTGAAAGGTTGCATGTCACTGCCTACCTTAGCAGAGTGAAATGCACTTCATTCAATAATTCGGTTTTCTAATGTACATGTAAACTAGGATAAAGACTGACAGTTTTACTTGATTATTGCCATACTGAGTGATAGTGATTGTGGGGGTGTTTAACTGAAGCAGATAAGTAATATATGTGGTATGGTTGCTCTGAAGCTGTGTCAAAAGGTAACAAAACACAGATAGCGTCGGCCCAAATTTTCATACGACTGCTTCCCTAACAAACCCCCCTGATGATAACGTGAACGGTACCTGCACATAAGAAATAAATCCTTCAGACCCGCTGAGCTGTCAATGTGTTGCTTTCAGGCCATTCATTCATTAATGTTTCATTCCTATACACACACTCATATAAAATAAATCATTAAATGGATCTCCTCTCCCAAGAGATGCAGTGGATTTGTAGGTGTTATTGGTGTAGATATAAAAGAGTAGGTTATAGATATGTGAGCTTAAAAACACAAGAACTGGTTATTTTTGGACCCTTATTCTAAGTCATCTGTATTTTTTATACTTTCATAAGTCAATGCGAGTCCCGAATTATCACCCCCCCCACCCACAAAAAGCATGATGAGAACAAAAGCTCCCAAGTGTGTGGGTGTGTGTGTGGGAGATTGTGGAGGATGTGTGTGTCAGGCTGAAGCTGAGCAATCGATAAAAATTTCAGCAAAAAGAACAGACAAAGGTTGAGTGGGGTTAGTTGTGGTAAGAGCCAAAATCAAGATGACCTACGGGAAACAGGACTGCACTGAGAAATGGTTAAAACTCGAGAAATTTGTTATTTTACTTCACAAACTTCAAATTTTGTTCAAAAGTAAAAGAAGAAAAAAGAAATGACCACATAAGCTGCTGAGAGGTAAAAAGGAGAACTGTGTCCTGTGGCTGGAACTCAGATAGGTTGGTTTGGGTGAGGACAGTTTCCCAGAAGCACCTGAGAGAAGCAGACTGTGTCGCTATGGCAACGCGACAGTCTGACCGACAGCATGTTCTGTCTCTGTTCTGACTAATGCGCGCTGGCACTTGCTATGAACACACACACACACACACACACACACACACACACACACACACAACTAGCTTATTTTGCCTACTGATGACTGAACAATAATCACAGAAAGTGGACAGGTCCCATACGGCATCACGGTCTGTGATCGTATGCTTCACAGGAGAATAAACTATTAGTTTTTTGACAAAACGTTTAATTTATTGGTTGCCATTGGTATGTGAAGAGCATTTCAAGAAGTATGGCAAAATGCTTCAAAAAACCATGTCATACCCCACCTTTGAAGATTTTCTAACCATTAACAAAAAGCTAATTCATGAATTTATTTAGCATCAACTGGATACTTTGGATTTGCTTAATAGTTTTGTTTGCAGCAACAACAGCACATTGCAAACCATGAACTAAATGCCATCTGATGCAAAGATGGAGGGGCAAAAGAAGAAAACCCACAACAAAAATTCTGTAATCTGAATTGAGATTTAGATGACAGGTAAGTGACGCCTAGCGTCTGCGAAGCGTGCACGTGAAACTTGAAAAAACGTTCATTTATTTCAGTATTCCATCTTAAAAGGGGAAACTAATAAAACGACATGAAATAGACTGATTACATGCAAAGCAAGTAATTTCAAGCTTTTATTCGTTATACTCATTTTGGCTTACAGTTTATGAAAACCCCAAATTCAAACTCTCAGACAATTAGAATATTGTGAAAAGGTTCAATATTCTAGACTAAAGGTGTTACACTCTAATCAGCTAATGAATGGCTTCCTGAGCCTTCACCCACCCCCCCACAGATGATGAACTGTAGCGCTCCTATGGAGCATGGCTACACCAATGTTCAGAGAAAACCCTTTTTTCAGCTGCTACGGTTTGTCTAGATTTCTAGGCCAGTAGTATTAGGCCAGCAATTAGCCGCCATTATAGAAGATGTGTGTATGTTTTCAATGACTGCAAAGTGGTGTACTATGGAAGCATTCCAGAAGCTCAGTATTTTTTATACAATACGCTTCCAGAATGCGTCAAGTTCAGTTCAGATCAGATCAGAGCAAACAGGAAGTCAAACACGAGTGCATAAACTACAGACCTTTGTGGATACATGCAGCTTTCTTTCTTCTCGCTTGTTTTTACGTGAACTGCCAAAATCACGCGTGCGGCATGCTCTTAGAGTTCTCCTGGGATTCATGATGCTGCAGAACTGACTGCATGGAATGCTTTTCACTCTGGATTCATGTCTGAAATGCTCCCTGTGGGAAGGAACGCACCGAGCTCACGGAAAGTGCGTCTATTACGTTACTTGATGCTTACGCGTCCAGTGGAAATCCGGGGTGAGTCCATCCATCCATTTTTGGCTGCTTATCCAGGGTCCGGTCACAGAGGCAGCAGCCTGGGAGGCTAAGACTTCCCGGGGTGAGTCCTCTATGAAAATTTGTCCAAGGTTCTTTAATGTGTAATCACTGACTGCCGTCTACTGAAGGCACCAACTACACAGAAGTACTCCACACAGCCTTGCCTTAAAACCTCCATTTCTTTTTTACTTTACTCATCATATATCAAACCCAGCTCTTTAAAGTCCTCCTGAGGCCGAGTAAACAACATATTTATCAGGTCCATCATCACTTGTGTTTTCATACAAGTACAGGCACACGACTCAACACGGATACACAGCACAACACGTGTGTGGAGACATTGTCCTACACGCCCATGCTGAACAGATGGGGGGGCTCTCCTCTTTCTAGCTAGGCGACAGGAGAGCCAATTAACACTCTGAGTGGTCCCAGCACCAGCAGATTGGTTGTGTCACCACAGAGCCAAAAAGAACAACAGGCACTGAAACAAAGTGCAGAAAAAGACAAATCTGCAGGTGGGAAGAGAGAAGAGGAAACAAAAGTCCCCCCCCCCCCCCCCCCTCCAGCTCGACAAAGAGGTGGTTTTTGGCAAGCAAGCAGGAGAGAAATACAGGTGACAGAGACAAAAGACAGAATGAAAGACAGACAACATGTGCAGGGGGATAGATAAACAGACGGACCACATGTGGTATTGGCAAGCCACCGATTTCCACAACTAGCCAGCAAGCCAGTCCATCAGCTGTTCAAACAAACAGACACAGTCAGTGCGCCGTCAGGACAGATAGTCCAGCCAGCAACATGAATTCATCAGATGTGGAACAAAGAGAGGTGAAAGGATCAAACGCAGGAAGGGAAATGCAGATGAAGTTGGAAAGAGAGCTGGGCTGAGGTCCGAGAACAACAGCAAGACAAAACTAGAGGTAGTAGGAGCAGGAAGAGAGAAGAACCAAAGGAATGGGGGCAGAAACATGGTTCTGTTTCCTTCCAACAATCCTAAGATGAGTCATCATGAGTGGGCTGCCTGCTCGCCGGCCGAGTACTAAAATAACACCAAATACACAAAAAAGGCATCAAACACACACACACACACAGGAAAACAGAGCAGACTTCACCTTTACTGGTCATGTCAACGAAACAGTAGGATTTAAAAATAGAATATTGTTGGATTTTGTGGTGTGTGTGTGTGTGTGTGCGTGCGTGCGTGCGTGTGTGTGTACCTGATGTCCATGAAGTGTATACAATAGCTTGCCCTCCACAAGGTCCAGTATCTTCATTGTGGAGTCGCTGGACGCAGTGATCAGGAAGTTTCCAGCAGGATGGAAAGACAAAGTGTTCACCATACCAGTGTGAACTGGAAGACACAGACAACAAACATTTAATGTTGTTTTTCAAACACAAATCCTGCGTCAGTTACAGCTTTACCTGTTCTGAATGTGAAAAAAAAAACAATAAAATGACTGGATTTTTAAAAAATGATTTCAGAATATAACAGCAGCTTTTGCAGTCTCTCAGAGCTTCTCAGACAGCTTATAACACAGAAAATTTAATTAGGATTTCAAGTTATAAAAGACAAAACTGCAGCTGAAAATAAAGCATGTGAACTTTTACAAACACTACAACCGTAGGATTAATGAAACGCTAAACAAAAGAAATGGTTTTAATCAAATGATGAGAAAGTTAAAGAAAATAGAATAATAACTAAAGATACAAGTCAACTGTTCGTTCCACAGCTTTTACTGTGCACACACTCCGCTTTCAATGTTTTGGCGAGCTAGAAGGCAGCGAGTCAATGTTTATCGATGTGACCACATCAGTTAATAATAAATGATCTAAAAGGCAGGGAAGTTATAGAATTATTTATTTGTTCAAATGATATTTGAAAGCACTTAATGACCCAATTTACTGTCATTTAAATGAAATTTCACATAAAATACTCCAGAGAGGAGGAATAATATCTGACTGGAGACTTTGAGTCAAGATGAGTTTCAAACTACAGCATAGTGAATTTGTCTCTTGTTTCAGGTTTTACAAGCAGGAGGACCTGAGACACTTTCCCATTTTTACTAAAAGACATTGTAAACAGAAAATGAAGTGCTTCACAGCCTTTTTCATGTGCTGAATCTGCTGAATCCCTCAACAGCAAAAGGAGGAAGGACATTTCATAGCGATAGCCCCCTCTTCTGGCTGACTGGTGCTACGACATATCGATCCAGCTGAGGAAAGATGCTGAGCAGCTGCAAATGAGCGTAAGGAGAGCCAAGGACATATTCATTACAATAACCCAGGTTCATCCAGGGATAGTGAGTAAAAAAAAACCTAAACTAGTGGAATTAAATACCAGAAAACAAGCTGAGGCAGCTAAAGCCAAGTAAGCATATCATTCTGCTTTTGCAGCACTGACTGCCCACACCACACTCCTGCTAAGGGTTTATAATGCAGCACCTTATGCTCACCAGTGTCTTAATTACTATGTTTCCACTGAGGTATCTAATTGTTACTTCACAACAATTTAACAGTTTGTCACGTCCAGCAGAATAAGTTGAGATACACTTTATGTAAAAAGAAGCAGAGTGGAAGAGAAGAAGAGATGTTATTTTCCTTCATGCTCAGTCTCCTCCAGCAGATGTGACTATCCATTATTAGATCTCTCAACAGAAATCCATTTAGGAGCAATGATTGGAACAATCAACCCGAGCGGCAGGCTCAGACAAAAGCATCAAGGTTTAGTTTATTGAATTTGTAACACATCTTTCATCTTCATCACCCTCCTATGGGATTTAAATACTAATGTGTTTAAATATTATTTCTGTTTTTTTTTGTTAATCTAATTTGCACGTTAAGAAGAATATTGTGTATGAACCAATTCTTGTAAAATAACTAAATGTAGGTACAGATAAGCCAGTTAAAATCTATTCTATACACATTAAAATGGGTCTTATAACTGATGTGGTTAGGAGTAACAACAGTTTATGCTTTAAAGACCAAGTTCAATCATTTTTCAATACATTTGCAGCAGTCTTTAGTATAAATGAAAGAATGTGAATCAATCTCTGATGGAAAACAGCTCTGGCACTCCTTTTTCATGAACTACGAGGGGGCTAGGGGAGTAGGGAGAAGACGACAGGATTGGAGTCCTATTTCCTGATATTACGACATCTCGCCTCTGATTGGATAACAGCAACACAACTCTACCACTGCCTCTGTTAGCTCTGCAATGTGGAGGTTTTATCTCCATAAAAAACACAAGCCCTGAAGGAGCTCTGCTGTGTGGTGGAGTTGCTAATGCTAACAGTTAGCTTCTGCTAATAAAACTGTGCTATGCTCGCTCTTTGATGCTAAACCAACAACAGCCTTTCCTGTTGTGAGCCTAGATGGGCAAGTGGCTTTTGTAATCCGAGCGTTTCTGAGTCTATTATCTATAAGCGGCTAACGCAGGAAATAGGGGTAAAAGGCTATTTTTCCATTTAGCTTGCATATGAAACTGAGTTATTTCAATAATAACAAGTAAAAATACGATGTCACTGTGAACTTGTTTTTTAAAACAGAAATCCAGTCTTTTCTCAGGGGGCATCATCTAGACACAGAAAACAGTATTGCACGTTAAGCCCCTCTTCAGCTAAAGCACATTGTTTTCCTATTATTATTATTCTCATGTTATATTGTTTATTATTTTCTATATATTAAATATTTACTTGTCAATAAGAAATGTCGCCAACTCTGCATCAGTCTAGGTACTTCTGCAAATGCACACAACGCTCTGTGATTGGCATCTGTACATAAGTGCAGGGTTTCCCCCAGCGCTTTAAAAGCCTGGCGGCCCGCCAGGCTAAGCGTCATGCCCCGCCCCCCTCCCCGACCCTACCGTGTCCGCTAACATGAACGGCGCAACGAAACTAGAGCTGTCCATCAGCTGATACTGGTGAGAAACAGCAGAAGAACGTGTGCAACCCCCCGCCTCTGACGGCCGAATCTGCCAGGCTTAACTCATTTTCTGGGGGAAACCCTGAAGTGGCTGTCTAACACTATTAGCTAATGCTGATCGACGCTCAAGCCAAACTGCATGGGGCTTTTTGTGATGAGGGTGTTAGCAAAATGAAAAACTAATGCATTGCCTAAATATCTTACAGAAAAGGGTAAGACTATCACATTTACACATTTCTAAAAAAAAAAAAATCATACATAATTCAGGCTAAGGGCGAAAACTCCAAACTGCTGCTTTAAAGATAATTAAATGTCTTTTATCTTTTGTTACCAGGGTAGTGCTGAAGCATCTTATGGGATCTGATGTCCCACACCTTCACAGAGTGGTCGGTGCTCGCTGCAGCAATGCAAGTTCCACTGGGATGAAAGTCCACATAGTTTGCAAAACTATGGGAAAAATGAGAAAGCAATTAGATCCAAACATATAATTTAAAATGCATCTGAACAAGTTCCACACTTTTAAACATGAGCTGAAGTTCCTTGTTATGTTCTAGTTCCATAGTTTTTCTGTTCTTATCTTGTACACAGAGTAGAAAATTTTCTGTTTTTTTTTTACCTTGTTTACTGACAGTTTCGGCATCAGCAAACATGGTAAAAAAGAACAGAAACTTTGCTACTCTGTGTACAAGATAAGAACAGAAAACTTATTAAAGTTAGAATATTGAATATTTTAATAAAAAGCTATATTTAAAAAATATTTAATTCCTCTGCGGGGTGTTCAGAGGTGTGCAGAATGGGTGTACAGTTTCTCCTTTTAAAGCTATACATAAAAAGAAAAATAACCCAATTTTGATTCTGTCGGCACGACATTGCATTTATGTTTACATCTACCAGCCACTAGAGGGCACCGTTGCGCTAAAAAGTCCACTCAGCAAGGTGAGGTTGGGACGGTGTAAAATGGCAGACTTGACAAGTCAAGCAGCTGAATCTGAGCCCAGAAGATGTTCTAACGGTAAATACTGTTGTAAAATAAACTTATTAGTAGAAATCAGTTCTGATCCTGTATGATTTGTCTCTGAACTTGGTGCTGGAACGTGTCAGCAGTGAACCAACATCCCAGCAGCTGGAAAATGTGTCCTGTTGTTGCAATACCACCTTTGAACACCAGAGTTTGCCAGATTGTCCATGTTCCATAGTCAAACTTTAAATGAGCTAAAATTCAATACTGTAAGATTTACCTTTAAATACACTTCAGATAAAAATATTAGACATATCTTCATACTTCTACTCTTTCTTGTGCACTCATCAATACATTTTTTATACATCTCGAGCTCACCCAGCATGTTCAAAGAAAGAATGAATGCACTCTCTGCTGTTCTTGTCCCATAGCTTTATAGTTCTATCATCACTGCAGGACACAATTAAACGATCATCTGGAGAAAACCTGGAGAAAAGCACATTAAAATTTTAAAATTAAACATTTGAGAGGAAAAGTGTAAAAAAAAGGTGAAAACTTGACATCACATATTAAATTTTTTAAACACTTGTACAACACTTTACTCATCATTACAAATATCACAGGGAAACTTGCATGGTGTGGTATTAAATGGGAGTGTGTGTGTTTCATACTTGGCACAGCGGACCCAGTTGATGTGCTGGTTAAGAGAGAAGAGGAACTTCTGCCTGTGGACCGTCCACACTTTGATTGTTTTGTCATTAGACGCTGTGACCAGGCTCTGTCCATCACCGGAGAAGTTAACACAACGCACAGTGGCAGTGTGAGCCCTGAATTCAGTTGAATCAGCCTTCCTGCAAACACAAAAGGTATTATTCATACATAAAGCAGACAAACACACTGTTTATTCAGGGCGCTGGTATGATGAAATTAGAGTAATCAGCAGATCTTGTTCTTTTGCCTTTAGGAATCCACAGCTTTGTCTTGAGTGATAATTTCTGGAGAAACTTGATGAGAAGAAAACAACATAAAATGCTGCTACGTATAAACTTACATGCTGGGCACCCAGAGACGTACAGTTTTGTCTCTAGAGGCCGAGGCCACAAGGTGACCAGATGGAGAAAACTGGACAGAGTTTACAGCTTCTCTGTGTCCATCGAAACGATAAGCTCTCATCTGAGGCTTCAAGTTCCAGATCATCACACAAGAATCCATAGAGCCTGTGACTGAGAAAGGAGGAAGCACAAGCTGGTTGAAGCAAGAGATTGGTATTAACTACAATGTGCACACAACAAACTGGATAACAGGTGAATATACAGACGGACAAAGGCTCAGATCAAATAATAATAATATTACCAATTTGTTTCATGTTGCGGCTGAAGTCCACACTTGTCACGACGTCCCTGTGACCCTTGAAATTTCTCTCTAGGGTTGGATCAGACTATGATGAAATCAACAGAGATTTTCAATTATTTTACAAGTTTATGTTTGGAAATTATTTTTTCATTTGTTTTATGACCACTTTTGTTATTAAATGATATTTTCTTCTTTTTTGTATTTTATGTTTTATTTTTTATGTAATTTTCATTGAAGAACTTCATGATTTTCTTTTCTACAATAGGTTCTATATAAATAAATTTTACTTTCTTTAGTTATCCATTGAGTTATATAAAAGTTGCAAGATGAACAGTCATCAGGAAAAGCAGGAGAAAGCATATCTAAATAAATAGCTTTTTAGAATTTATAACCTTAAAAAATAAAGCACCATTGAGATGTAAACAATACATTAAAAAGTACAGTGTACTTCATTTGCCATCTTGTTGAACTTGCGCTGTTATTCGGAAAAAAGTAAACCAGCGGTTCTTGTATACCCTTTATTCAGTCTTTCAGGTATGATTGTAATTTATGTAACAGCTGCTTCACGTCATTAATTAAACTGGTTAAAATTCGTAATTAGTTTACTAAATTAAAGGTTAAGTAATATTTTTTTAGCAAGAAGATATAAAAATGTGTCTCATTTGCCTTCAAAAATAGAACCAGCCCTAGACAGGAAGTGCTGCCTGACAGACTCTGCTCAGGGAGTGCTGTATTAAGAGCACACTATGGCAGGCTGGGTTACCAAGGAGACGTGAGCTGCGTTTGTTGCTCTGTAGCCTTTGATAAAAGCGGGCTCCGTGTGTCGCATGTTCTGGTTAAAGCGGACAGCTGTGAAATGGCAGAGCTTCACATTATAGGACAGATCATCGGGGCCAGCGGGTTTCCTCAAAAAAGCCTATTTTGCAAATGGGAAGTTCATACGGGGGGAGCATGGCGTCTTCTCTCGGGGCTGAAGGAGGGTCAGACTCAGGTGGATTCCCCCCACAGCGGAGAAATGGCTTACTGGAGCCACCCAATTGATCTGCACTATGCGACCAAAGGTCTCCAGGGCTGGCCGAAGCTTCATCTGCAAGTGTGGCACCAGGACTCATTCGGCCGCTACCAGCTGTACGGATACGGGTACTGCCACGTTCCCTCCAGCCCCGGACATCACCGCATAAGCTGTGTGACATGGAGGCCGCTCGGCTCCTGGCAAGAGCAGCTAGCACGAATATTTGTCGGCGGAGGCCCCCAGCTCCGCAACCCGGATCTGATTTACAGTGGAGCGGACAGATACAGACTGCACACCGAGGCCATGGGCACTGTGAATCTGGAGCTGGGCGTCATCATAAGACACTTTGACAAACATGGCGTCGAGAGCTGAGACGTCAAATAAGAATGTTGTATTGATTGTTTTCTTATAAAAAGTTTGTTTTGTCGCAAATGCCTTTGAAAAATTACACACGGCAAAGTTTTGTACATTTCTATGCTGATGTTTTTACACCTGAAATACAGCTATAAATAAACACTTATCATTGAAGTTGGTTTCTTATTCATCTACCGTTTACCATCAATCCAACTATACCTAATATTTCATATTTGTAACGTTATGAATATTTGAACATGTGTGTGTGTGTGTGTGTGTGTGCGTTAACCAAAACAAGTAGTCTACTACAAATCAGACACGAACTTCCTCAGTTGCTACAGTAACAAGTGCTAGCCAAACTCACCAGTGCAGAAGTCATTTTTCCCGGTATTTAGCACGTACACCCGAGTAAAGAGGCTCGTTGCTGCTTTGGCTATTATGACCGAAATACAATTGTTCTCAACTGTGGGTTTTGAAATGAACAGAGGGAGGAAAATATCGCTCCGGTAATTGGAATTGTTTTTTCTAATGCTAGCTGCTAACAACAGAGTTCAGTTTACGCGCCGTGATTGGGCGCTGAGCTGTTGGCCAGAGTCCTTAAAGGGGACGCTGGACATTAAAGGACGTTTGTGTCGAAAAAAGACTTCAATCAAATGAAAAAACGATGAATAACAAAATAAGAAGTTCCGGATTGTACAAGCAGTTATTTTCTTTTGCACAACAAATCCAAATGACCAAAGGGCACACGAGTGTAGTAACCAAATATGACCACAAGATGTCAGTAGCGGTGCAGTGATGTTTTGGAACAAATGTTTTTTTTTTTTTGCATTGACGGGGAAAAAACATCCAAATTAAACAATTGGATGGTCTTTTTGCAGAAGTCAGTAGCTTAATTCTAAAATAACAAAATAGCCCAATACAGAAGTTACAGTATAAAATATTTTCTATGCACTCCTAAGAAATTGGAATATGCGGAGATACATGCACATAAAAAGTAAAAAATCTTTCCATTATGAGCTGTAGGAACATTTTACTTCCTTCAAGGCCCTTTCTTCTGCTTATTTGTGTTTAAAATATGACTTAACACATAATAATATACACAATTCAACAGTAAACCATCAAGACATGAGTCTTTTTAGCCTCTCAATTTGTTGTCTGCTGGGTAATACAGCTGAGAGCATCACTTTAGTAAATATGCCTCATGTTGCCATAGATTATAGAGAGGTAACCTGACTGAATATAGGTCAGATGGTCTTACTGATCTGTAAAATATCTTGTTTCGTATTCTTCAGCTTGTTTTAAATGAAACAAACACAAAAACAAAAAGATAAAAACCACAAATTTTTAGAGCCAATACAAATTATGTTTTTTGATTGCAACTTTTTCAGGATGTAACCGTCTCTGTTGACCATCTCAACATAAACATTGACTTAAGTTCAATCTCCCTTTAGACTGCTCCATCTGTAAGGTTAGTGTGTCACATGACAAGACACACCACAAATGGTTTCATAACTCCGTAACTTTGATCATGTTGCTGTGACATCACTGAATGAATATGTGTTTTGTGTTTTTATACCTTGTATGTTGTCATGACTGTTTTTAGAATGTTGTGACATACTATTAAGGGGAACCAGAATCCTGAAAATGGTGATCACATACTCCTTGAGTCAAGGTTAAGTTAGAAGCTGCATGTGAGGGATGTGAAGAGTTCGTGTACCCAGTTGTGTCTTTTACAAAACCAAAATGCAATGGGTCATTTTGCTTCACTTGTTGATCATCGACAAACTCCCCACAAAAAAAAAATCAATTAATCTCTCATCACAGAAAATTTGACTAATCCCCCCCCAAAAAAGAAAGAAACATGATCCATTGCAGGTATTTGTGTTTTTAATTCAAATAAGTTAGAAAAACTGCAGAAAATAGATTTACTCATATGTTATTGTTTTAGTCACACAGTCTCCCTTAGAGATAGAGTGAAAAGTTCGGTCATTCTGGAGGGGCTTGGAGTAGATCTTCTGATCCCCCACATCAAGAGGAGCCAGTTGAGGTGGCTAAGGCATCTGGTTAGGAAGCCTCCTGGATTCCTCCCTGGTGAGATTTTCCGGAGACGTCCATCCGGGAGGAGAACAAAGGAAGACCCAGGACATGCTGCAGGGACCATGTTTCTCAGCTGGCCAGGGTACTCCTTAGGATTGCCCCAGATGAGCTGGCCCAAATGGCTGGGGAGAGGGAAGTCTGGGCCTCTCTGCTTAGGCTGCAGCCCCCGCGGCCCAACCCTGGATAAGGGGAAGAGAATGGTTGGATGGATGGAGGTTTCTTATTGTAAAATCTATGTTGAGTTAGTTGAAATGGAATTAAATGAAGTTCTTCCTTGTTCATTAGCTGTAAAAATGCATTAAGTCTTTGTCACAAATAAACACACACACACACACACACACACACACACACACACACACACACACACACACACACACACGATTAAACACAGCTAATTTAACTTTTTAATAAGTCACTTAAATAGCATTTTAGGATGGGCAAAGAAGGAAATAATGTCCACTTTCCAGGAAGCATGAAAATCATTTTCCTTTTTCAGAGAAGTAAGATGTTTTATCTGTTACTCATTCATGACTCAAACTGAGAACTTTTATCTCCTTAGAAACTCTTTATTTATAGGATTTGTGGGATTTTAAACAGATTACAATTAGATTTGACTGGTTGCTTTACTAGTTTACGGTGCATATTTAGGCTATCAGTTTTGTCACAAACATCACAGAAGCAGATTTTACTCAGCCTGGGAAGTGCTTTGTGCGTTTTTCATTGTGTGATAGAAGCCGTCCCTAGCATCCTCTCTCCTGCAGATTTTAAAAGGCACGCCTTAACTCTGTCTGAGTTTTCAGATTACAATAACCTCAAAAAGGAACATTTCCTCATTGTTTCAGACCTAAAAGCTTCAGCCCAAACAATGCTGGACAGAATGATGGTTTATTTTTAGATACAGAGGTGTGTTTCATGAATGCGGAAATATAAAGACAATTGAATTCATCTTGGCTGTTTGGTGCTTCTGCAGCTTTTATCTTAATTCTTTCCTTTTTTGCAGATTGAGTTAATATGAAATAAAGTGACTTGATTTAGAAATAAACAACTGACAGTATTTGGCATGAACAAAAATAATTAATAATTTAGTTATTAATAAACAGCTCTATAGTAAGGCTAGTTTGAGGGTCAGAGGTCACGAGCCTCAGGAAAGAAGCTGTTCCTCAGCTTTGTTGACTTGTTTTTAAAGAGCAAGTCACACCAAAATCAACATTTTTTTTGCTTATAACTTGTATAAATAAGTGTATTATAGTGTTGTAGACATGTGTAGTTGTTATTTTTGCAATTTAGTGCATTTTCTTTAAACACTTAAAATTCAGCCTAAAACCTTCAGTCCAGCGCCCTCTTCAGCTCAAAAATATTCTACACAAATTTACAACAGCAGTTTGAAATCTGTCTGACCAATGGGTGAAAGGTAACATGCAACGTAACCAGGTCCCATGTAAAGCCTGCCGCACACGAGAGCAATCTGCTGAGCAAACGGCCTCGAATGACCGTTTGCTCAGCAGATTGCTCGCTGTGTGCGCCTGATTTTCACAGAGTTTTCCATCTCACGAGATGCTGAGCCAAATATCTGACCAGTTCGATATTTTCCGCCTCACGGGGGTAGAAACTCGCCGTGTGCTCACTACTGAGCTGCCAGCTGAGCTGAGACATTCTAGTGGCCAATCAAAGCGCATTTTCTGATCACATGATTCCAAGATGGCAACCCCCTGTCTGCATGTCAGAAAATAAACAAAACGGAGACAGAGGTGGAAACGGAGGAAATACCTCTACTTTTTTTGTTGATGAAGCGTCGCCATCACCAGCATTTCAAGGTTAGGAAAGTATTTGTACGGTGGCTGAAAAGATTGGCCAGTCAAGGAGTTTATGCCAATTTACTCCAAGAAATGCGCCAGGAAGACCCAGAATCCTTCCGGTAGAACCGCTGCCCAGATCCTTTGAAAGGATAATGAAAACAGTGGGTCCATCGATCCGCAAGGTACCGTTCTGTTTATTTTTCAGACACGCAGACAGGGCAGGGGGCTGCATCTGTATACATGTTTAAGTGGTGGAGCGTGTGAGCAGCTTCAAGTTCCTGGGAGTCCACATCTCCGAGGATCTCACCTGGACTACCAACTGCTCCAAGCTGGTCAAGAAGGCTCACCAGCGCCTCTTCTTCTTGAGGACTCTGAGGAAGAACAACTAGTCCTCAGGCATCCTGGTGAACTTCTATCGCTGCACCATCGAGAGCATCCTGACCAACTGTATAACAGTCTGGTATGGGAACTGCTCCGCCTCGGACCGGAAGGCGTTGCAGAGGGTCGGGAAAACTGCCCAGCGCATCGCCGGAGCACCACTTCCTGCCAAAAAGGACATCTACAGGAAGCGGTGTCTGAAAAGGGCAGGGAAAATCATCAGAGACCGCAGTCACCCATCACATGCACTGATCACCCTGCTGCCCTCTGGGAGGCACTACAGGAGCCTCCGGACTAAGACCACCAGGTACGGGAACAGTTTATTCCCAACAGCTGTCAGACTCCTGAACTCTGCCTCCTGGCATATGACCCACGTTAAACTCATGGACTGCTTGTATTAACTACAGCCTGTAGATACTTATGGTCATAGAATAATCTTAACATACTTCATACCGTGTACATTATAACATGCGTAATAGATCCATTTCTGTAACATACTTACGCATCTACATTATTGCTAATATATATTGTTATACATCTATATCACGGCTAAAGCACTTCTGGATGGATGCAAACTGCATTTCGTTGCCCTGTACCTGTACATGTGCAATGAAAATAAAGTTGAATTCTATTCTATTCTATGTTGGGGTCATGTGAGCGGAGAACGCGCTTTGATTGGCCACTAGAATATTTCAGCTCAGCTAGCAGCTCAGTAGTGCGCACACGGCGAGTTTTTACTCCCCGTGAGGCGGAAAATATCTAACTGGTTAGATATTCGGCTCAGCGTCTCATGAGGTGGAAAACTCAGTGAAAACCAGGCGCACACAGCGAGCAATCTGCTGAGCAAACGACCTCGAATGACCGTTTAGCAGATTGCTCTTGTGTGCAGCAGGCTTAAGGCTAAGATCCACTTGTCTCCTCCAAATAGACTTGGTCCCTTTCTTCTCGAGTGTCTGGGTAAGGAGGGGGAGAAACGTCCTCCACTTCTAATAACTGCTCAGAGTGAAGGGAGCTAGCATCGTCTCGTTACCCATCGTCTTCATCACTGCCACGGCTCCGCCCTCTCGGTCCACCAGGCAACGCCTACTAATGTTGCATTTTTAAAAATTGATATGTGGGTGGAAAAGACTCTGAGGCAGGCTTGACAAGCCCTTTAAGGCCTGAAGGTAGGAATGTGAATAGTTCATGATCTGGATTAGAGAGGTCTGTCATGATCTGTGTTTTGCATCTGCAGGTCAAAATGGGCTTTGGGGATGGGAGGATGCTGTCTGCCTCAAAGTAGTTCTCATAACAGATGGTAGTGAAATATGTCAACACTCCAAAAAGAACAGCAGCAGAGACCTGCAGTCTTCAGCTTCCTCCAAAAAAAGAGCTATTTGTGAGTCTTTGCCAGCTGTGTTAGTGGCACATGTAAGGTCAGAGGTCATATGAAGGTGCATAAATATTGCTGTTTTACA